AGGATCTTCTTTGCAAACTAGTCCAGAACAAACCTGCTTTATACTGCCACGGGTGGTGCATTGTCAGGACGAACCAGTGGCCCAACACGCAGAATTAAGTAACAAACACGTAACAAATACTAACAGAAACATTGTATTACCAGTTAAAGGTGAGTTAGTATCTCAGTGTTAATCTCATTGCCAATATATGTTTAAGATCCTTTATCCTACTGTGGTTGTCACACACTACCAATTTTCAGTGCTAGTTAAGTCTGCGTCACTTGTGTTTCTTTTATAATTATACCATTTTGTAGGTCTACCATCTCTTTTTCCATTGTCTCCATCAGACCAGTGACTGAATGTGCCTCCTCTTTAACCCCTTAAGGACACATGACATGTGTGACATGTCATGATTCCCTTTTATTCCAGAAGTTTGGTCCTTAAGGGCAGGGCCGGATTAAGAGCACACTGGGCCTGGTGCTGACAAATATGATGGGCCTAATTACGGAATCTTATCGACCAAAAACACTAAAACAGTCAGACCTCCCAAGCGTCAGTTATCTGATGGAGATGGTGCTGGAGGGAAACTCATAGGATGCAGCTATAGGAAAACACATACTCTATGCTAATCTCTCTCTAATTTATGCTTTCATCTTTCAAGTAAATCCATAACCCCTAACAGTGAAGCAGGAAGTCAATGGGTGGGGTAAAAGGGTGGGCCACTGGTGCGAATCACGTGACCAGACCTTCCAAAAGGGGTGAACATGCCCAAAAAGGGGGCATGTCTGTCCAAAGAATTTGAAGGACAGCCTGGCATGAATGCATGTCAGGCTGCCTGCCAATCCTGCAGGCTGTCCAACTAAGGGCATACTATGCAGGCAGCACCATGAGCTTGACATAAATGCATCTAAAGATGCGCTCACTCCGTGCTTTCTAAGGACTGTCCCCTAGCACTCGCTGGTCCACTTGTCTCCTTGCCTTCTTACTAGCAGGCAGAAGTTCCTGTTATATAGTCTGAGACAGAGAAAAGGTGTATGTAGTGAGTGTATAAGAAAGGGGACATGCCACAGTGTTAGGGAGACCAAAGTATGCATTATCTAAACTAATTTTATTGTCAGCTAGCCCACACAAGTTTTGTTCCCATACATCCCTTTTAAGCTTCCAAACTTAAAGGGACACTATAGTCACCAGAACAACTACAGCTTATTGTATTTGTTCTGGTAAGTAGAATCATTCCATTCAGGCCTTTTGCAGTAAACACTGTCTTTTCAGAGAAAATAACTGCACTGGCCACTCCTTAGATGGCTGCTAGAGGTGCTTCCTGGGGCAGTACTGCCTAGTGTGCAGCACTGCCATTCAGTGTCTCCACCCTCTGCATGCAGACACTGAACTTTCCTCATAGAGATACATTGATTCAATGTATCTTTATGAGGAGATGCTGATTGGCCAGGGCTATGTTGGACTTGTGCTGGCTCTGCCTCTGATCTGCCTAGTTGACAGTCTCAGCCAATCCTATGGGGAAGTATTGTTATTTGCTCAGACCACCACTTCTGATGATGTCAGCAGTCAATTCAGAGGCAGAGCCAGCAGCTGCAGACTTGAATACAAGTTATATTTTACTATACTTAGGGAGGCAAGAAGGGGCCAGGGTGTTGGTTTTAACATAATAGGGTCAGAAATACACGATTGTGTTCCTGACCCTATAGTGCTCCTTTAAGCAAGAGTATGTGAAGAGTAGTTAGGGTTGCCACCTTTCTTGGAAAAAAATCATTTGTATAATAACAAGGAGTGACATCAGAGAAAATTCTGTAAAATCACCAACAAACTACTCACAGTTTGATTCTGCTGTATTGATGGATTGCGCCCAGTGTCTCAGTTTTGCAAGTCACCCAGTGTCTCAGTGTCCCTATGTATCACAGTGTCAGTGTCCCCATGTCGCCCAGTCCCCTAGTCTCCCAGTGTCTCGGTGTCCCCATTTCTCCCAGTGTCCCCATTTCTCCCAGTGTCCCAATGTCTCAGTGTGTCCCCATGTCCCTAGGATACTGGGGACACAGAGACATGGGGACACAGAGACATAGGGACACTGAGACATGGGGACACTGGGAGACATGGGGACACTAAGACATTTAGGGAAACTGGGAGAAATGGGAACAAAGACACTAGGGACACAGACACTGGGAGACATGGGGACACTGAAACATTTGGGGACACTAAGACACTAGGGACACAGAGACATGGGAACACAGACACTGGGAGACTAGGGGACACTGGGAGACATGGGGACACTGGCTGGGAGACAGACACTTGGGGACACTGGGAGACACGGGGACAGTTGTGGGCATAGACATGGGGACACTGGGACACATAGGGACACTGAAACATTTGGGGACACTAAGACACTAGGGACACAGAGACATGGGGACACTTGGAGACTTGGGGACAGTTGTGGACATAGACATGGGGACACTGGGACATATAGGGACACTGGGACACATGGGGACACTAGGCACACAGAGACACGGGACACAGACACTGGGAGACTTAGGGACACAGACACTAGCAACACTGGATGGGGGACATGGGGACACTGGGAGAAATGGGGACAGTGTCTCCGTGTCCCAATGTCTCAGTGTCTCCCAATGTCTCCCAGCATCCCCATGTGTCTCAGCATCCCCATGTATCCCAGTGTCCCCTAGTGTCTCAGTGTCCCCATGTTTTCCAGTGTCCCCAAGTGTTTCCAGGTCTCCCAGTGTCTGTGTCCCCATGTGTCCTAGTGTATCAGTGTCCCCTAGTGTCTGTGTCCCCTAGAGTCTGTGTCCCCTAGTGCCTCAGTGTCCCCATATGTCTCCTAGTGTCTCAGTGTCCCCTAGTGTCTCGGTGTCCACATGTGTCCCCTAGTGTCTCAGTGTCCCCCAGTGTCCCCATCCCTCACTTACCTGAGCTGTAGAGCTGCTGTCTGGACTCTGTGCTGTGTTGCTGCTCCCCCACAGATCAATAAGTAGTAGAGAGTGGCAGGGATATGCTGTAACTTTCTATCCCTGCCTCTCTCCACACACAGTGACCCCTACTGGCTGGTGCTGGTATTGCAGAGTAATCTCCATTTATTCTGAGAAAAATACCTGCATTTGTATTGCTGGTATTACTGCAATACCAGCACGGCCAGGCAGCCTCAAATACCGGCTGTGCCAGTAAAATACCAGTCAGGTAGAGTAGTGTGTAAAAAAAAAAAAAATGTAAAAAAAAAATGTTTTCTTTTTTAAATGGGCCTATTCCATGGGCCTGGGCCTGGAGCTGCAGCTCCATCAGCCCCTATGTTAATCCGGCCCTGCTTAAGGGGTTAATCATTGCTATTTTGGCAAAGATCTTGTTGCTATTTCTCAGTAAATTATTTTGTCCTTATTTATGGCAGGGGTGTGTCCCTCCTCACAGAGTGGGCTGCTGTATCCTGCTCTATATCTGTGGGTTTGGTTTTGCTCTGCTCAGAGGCTCCGCAATAGGTCTTCAGAGATACTGGAGGTTTTGGCTTTGGGTCCTAAAGATACATGTCTTCAATGTTCCTATTTTCATCATGTGAGCATACCCATAGAGAGCTATGGCCGATAACATTTCTAAAGTTGCTTAAATGGACACTATAGGCATAAAAGCAACTTTAGCTTAATGAACAGGTTGGGTGTATAGATCATGCCTCTGTAGTCTCACTGCTCAATTCTCAGCCATTTAGGCGTTAAATAACTTTTGTTTCTGTTGATGCAGCCTTAGCCATACCTACCCTGGCTGTGACTTACTTACTTATTTTCTGCTCTGTAAATTGAACTATAATAACAGACAGGATTGTGTGTTTAACAACACAGGAGGCTCCTCCAAGGTCTAGAAGGATTTTAACAGAGCAGGAGATAAGACATTTGAAATGAAACAAAATGTGCAATAAAGGAAGTTGAAAACATTAGATCTCTCTTTACAGGAAATGTTTAGGAAGGCTGTGCAGGTCACATGCAGGGAGGTGTGATTAAGGCTGTATAAACAAAGTGATTTAACTCAAATCAAATTGAGCATTGAGACCGCAGTGGCAGAGATCTATACACCAAAACTGCTTCATTCAGCTAAAGTTGTTTTGGTGCCTTTAGTGTCCCTTTAAGAAGATTAATGCAGGAGCTCTTACTAACAGCTGCACAGGTGGGCTGTGCTAGGACCACTTGGTGGGATGAACTATATTCACATACAGTTCAACTCAATTAAGAGGCAGCAGCTGTAAGGAAATATGGCTGATTATAGGCCGCAACACCTTGTTGCTGGTAAAAGCAAACAATCAGTTCAATGAACGCACTGACAGTGTAGTGAGTATTTGACTAAAATTCTCTTGAATGGCCATTAAAAAAATAATAATCTTCACCAGTTTGTGAGATATCTATCTATCTATGCAACTCAGTGTAAAGTTGCAACTGTTCTAGTTTATTGGAACTCCACCTGTGATCTGACTTATTCAAATAGTTAACTTGTAAAATGCATAAAAGTACTTAACTACAATAAAGCTGTTATTTTCCGTTCTGTCTGGTGACCTGTTTATTCTGCCTGTTATGATAACAGCAAGGTGATTCCCTATAGGCTGTCAACTCCTAATGAGACGTAAAAAAATAAATAATAAAAAATAATAAATATTCCTTAGGGGGAATGTGTTTAGCCTAACCTCAAAATGGCTGCCTCAGAACTGTTTTGTGATTGGTCTCTAAGGTAACAGTGATCAACAATTCCGCTCACACAAACAAACAGCAACATCTACTGTAGAGTATTCTGGCAGGTAGGATGAGACCAATTTTTAAATTTATATCTTTACATAAGACTCCCATCAAAACAAAATTATATATATTCTTTGTATAATGTATTTAATGCATAGTGTCCTGATTGCATGGTTGCATGTTGAATGATACTTTTAGGGTGGTCTTGCATGTTACAAACACAGATCTTTTGTCTCTCCTTCTATGTATTTTAGAAATTGATTAGTTACAGATTGGACTGAAACCTGGATGAAGAGGCAGCCTCGTATTGACGGGCGTGGGTGCAATGTGGCACTGTGGGGATTTGTGTTAGATGAGGAGCATCCCGAACAAAGCTGGGAAGATGGTGGGACTGGCTCTCCTCCAGGGAACATGTCAGACAGTAAGTCAGCAATAATGGGAGATGATGAGACAATGCAAACCTTTTATCTATAGATTAAAACATATATTAACTAATATACTGTGTTACCAAGTACCCTGTATCCCGATGGGACAACTAAGGGAGTGGGCCTTGAAAGAATCAGGAGGTTGGCATAGCAACCAGTTTAAATTAGGTGACAGTTGGTGAGTGGGGGCGGGGTTTTATCAGGAGTATAAATAGCGGCCATTTTATGAAGTGGCCATTTTAACTAAACCTAAACTTACCTGTTAGTTGTCCCTCCCATTTGTTGATAGTTGGGTGTTTTTCCTGGGGGATGGCCAGGTTAAATCGGGGGGGTAGATGGAGGAGGAAGTGGGCATCCTGAGGTTTAGTGTGGATTAGGCAGTGTTACACTTTGTTTGTAGGTTCGAGCTCGTTGGTGGCTCCGAACCTTGCTACAACCCTACAATTTAATCCGGCCAGGTTATGTGTTATCTGTTAGATATATTGTTATTTATTGTTCTTATTGTGGGGTCATTGCCAGGGTTATAGTGTTCCTTTTAGTGAGAAATACTTAGAAGTCAAACTTTTCAATTTTGACCTAAACATTAAAATTCCAATTTAATTCATACTTTAGTGAATAAACCTGGGAATCATGATTTAAATCTTTTTTTTTCATTATAGTATCTTTTATTAGAGTTTTAGGGGTTAGAATTAAGGTTTGAAGTTTATTCACAAAGGTTTGCAATTACTTTTTGACATTCAAGATATCGTGGACTATATTTTCACTCAGTCATGCTTAGAATGTATAGGAGTTCTCATCATTCAGAATTCACGGGGATTAGGGTGTATATGACTGTGCCCCCCACTCTTTATCGGTGTGAACGGTGCTAAGATGGTGTTAAAAAGTAGCTGTTCTCTAATGAATGCAAAGCCATTTGAAAGTCACCATTACAATCGTGCTTTAATAATGCGCAACTTGCATCATTACAGTCGATAATTCAATAGCGAATTCAATAGTAAATGAAAAGAACCTCTCTGAAAGTGGCAGGGGTCCGGAGATGGGTCACACAATAAATAAAAGAAGAAGGATGAATAAACGAAATGGGCGCAAAATAATACAATCTTTGTATTGAAATTCAAGGTTATTTTTTTAAATTTTTTTCTATCTCACTGACTTCACAGATGGCTTAAGGTAATTATTTGCAATTATATAAAAGTTATGAGTCATTTTTTTCCCTTTAATCTACAAGGTATTTCTTGTGGTGTAATTCATCTCAGGGTTCGAATCCCCCTATCAGAATTGTGCGTGGCTACAGATAATAGAAATTGAACACAAGCTGTTACAGCCTCTCCTTTGCGTTTCTTGCTGCTTTTAACTTGATTTTATGAAAGAATGGTGCCACATTCTTTCAATAGCCGGGCTTTCAGTCTCAGATTGTCAGGGTTTTTTTTGTACTTTACAGGAAAGCACTTTTTCTATGTTGGAACTCCCAAAAGAATCCAGCAGATTACAGAGGAAGAACGCTTCCTACGGAAAGATGAAATTCAGGTTACAAGCAAGTTACAAGGTAAGAAAAAAATTTCAAGACTGGTGCTGATGTGCATATAGATTACGGTATTATTCATAATGCTTAGTAATAATTCTATAAATCTTTGTGTGCCACATAGGTGAGTAAGAAATGTATAATGCCTATGGCTTTCATCTGTCCGTCCACGTCCCCTGAACTGTTGGATGGGGCTAAATCACTAAAGTAGGTGCTTATTGTTCAATACCCAACTCCATCACTCAGGAAAGGTAATATACATTAGCAAGTTTCTGTTAGACCTCCTATATGCTAGGCTGGACTGGCCTGCTTACAATACCCATCTTGCCCCCCTAAATATAGTAAAATCTTACCTTTATTCCAGTCTGCCGGTGCTGGCTCTGCCCCTTATCTGCCTACTTGGCAGACATCAGTAGTGATGATCTCAAGCAATGACAATGCTTTCCAATAGGAAAGCATGGATTGGCTTCGATTGTCAATTCTGATGGTCTTAGCAAGGAGGAGGGCTGGGGGCGGAGCCAAACAACGCCCTAGTCCAGGGGTAGGCAACCTTTTAGCAGCACTGTGCCGATATAGGATTGTGATGTCCCGTAGCATGCAGATCCTATTCTTTTAAATTGAGGCGTGTATGCTGCCATATTCTGCTTGTGTTATTTTTACTGTAATTGCTTTGTATCGTTGTATTTGTGCGTATATGAGCTATTATATTGTATATGTTCATTAGTAGTTTATGGTATCGTGTATGATACATATGAATGTGGGCTGTGTATGAGGGCTGCTTGTGGAATTGTGTGGAATTGTGTGTGGATGGATGTCACATTGTGTGCTTGGTAGTGTGTGGGGGCTATATGGGGTATTGCATGTGAGAGGCTGCATGTGGGGTTGTATGCATGTATGTACATTGTTAGTGGTGTTGCGTTTGTGGGGATTGTGTGGTGTGTGTGTGTTTGTGGGCTGTTCATATTATTTGGATGAGGGGAGGGTTATTCTACATTTCTGTGTATATCTAGCAGCGTCGGTGGGTTCCCTGGGTTCCAGTGGGGACCAGGCTGGCCAGATACAGGTCAAGGACAGGAGCTGCGAAAGCTGCTCTACTACAGTGTGGATTCCCATTCACAAGTGCTGGGAGATGTGCTGAGATCACTTCCTCTATGTGCTGCAATGCATAAATTGAGGATTGTCCTTTACCACCTCTTCGTATTAGCAGATATCTGAAGTTTTACTGAGTGCGTTTGGCTCTAGCAGCCTTGAGTGCCATGCAAAGACACCTCGAGTGCCGTGCATGGCACTAGTGCCGTGGGTTGCCTACCCCTGCCCTAGTCATTCATAATTTCCTCATAGAGATGCATTGAATCTTGCAGTGTTTCCATGCAAAGGTTCGAGACACTGAATGTCAGTGTGCAGCACTGATCCAGGAAGCACCTTCAGTGGCCATCCCTAGGCTTGAATGTAAACACAGCCTTTTCTCTGAAAAAAAACAAAGTTTACAGCAGGGACTGACTATACTCACCAGAACAACTACATTAAGCTGTAGTTGTTTTGGTGACTATAGTGTTAGTTTAAATTGCCTAAATCCAGCATAGTCAGTCTGCCAGTTTGTATATGGAAACAAAGTGCGAGAGACAACATATGATATGAGTATAATTAATATTATATTTATTTTTATTATTATTAATAATTAATGTTAATTAGATCACAATATTCTAGTTGTAAGTGTTCAAGATCAATTACTTCTTGGCTGTACCAATAACAAGTAACTAAAATACTGTGGGACCTTGGTTTACGAATTTAATTTGTTCTCCGAAACGCGGTTTCCCGTAGGAATGCATTGCAACCAATTAATCCGTTCTGGAGGTCAGAAAAAAGTCAAAATGAGCTGGCATGGAAACTAACCCACAATGCAGAACACACAATAAAAGGCATGCAAACGACGAAGCTCAGCTTCTACCTTTCCACAGCTTCAAAAATGCACCAGAAAGTCCCAAAACAACTGCAAACATTTTCTAGAATGGCTCCAAAACTAGATGCAAAAGCCGCTCCAACACCTCCACACTCGACGCCACGTGCTACCCACAGGCTCCAGCATGCAGGGGGCCGTGCTATAAATGAATCAATGCATCTCAATTGGTAGCATTTAGCACCTTTATGCAGAGCATGGAGACGCTGAACGCCAGTGCTGCACACTGTGAAGGACTGACACAGGAAGCATTTCTAGTGGCTGACTTAGTGACTGCCACTAGAGGTGTTACTAGTCACTAATTAAAAAGCCTGCAAGGTCAGGCTATAGACACCAGAACAATTACATTTTGCTGCAGTTGTTCTGTAGTCCCTTTAACAAATTCCTTGCTTGCATAGTAATACTGTGAAGACATAAAACAGAAAAGCCGAGAGCGTTTGTTCAATAACTTGAAGTTTCAGTATCGGTAACACGTGCCTCATTGGCTGCTGTATAGATTTGTCTATACCCACGCCGGGTTGGAAACGTTCGATAGACTTAGCAATAAATCCTACAACCAACAGTTTTGCAGTCAGAAGGGTTCATTAAAAACTCCCCTGTGTACGATACTTTGTTTAATTTATTCATTGCTAGCAACAGTTTTCTCCACGCATAAAATGCACAAAGCACACACCACGTACGTGATCAGAGTGAAGACTTCAAGCAATGTAGCAATATTGTAGCAAAATGCTCCATCTGGAGAGGCAGACGTGCAGCTATAGTATAATCACTGACTGCTATGTCATAAATATCAATTTATATGGCATCATTAATGATATGGCCTTGACATTGCCTTCCATTATTAAATCAAAAAGCCATCTTAAACTCACCCCTTCCGAATTAGACGGGGCTCCAGAGCAATGATTTACAATGAAGAGGAGAAAAGCTCTCTCGAGTGGAAAACAATGATTTACCTGTTGATTCATGTCATGAGCTGTCATGGTTTTGTATCATTTGTGATTGTAGAGGAAGAAGCTCAGTAACAATAAGGAGAAATTCTAATTCTAGAACACAGCTAGCTAAATGGTTTTTGGAGAGGTCCAATGGGCATAGCCCAAATATAAAGATAACATATAAAGATAATCAAAATATAAAGATAATCAAAAAAGAAAAGTTTAAAACATTTTAAAAATTTCAATACTATACACAAAAAAGTACCAACGCAAAACTAAAACCCACATACCCAGAAAAAAAATTAAATATATATATACACAATACACAAGATTCAGCGCACTCACCTATCCACTAAACAGCAACTTCAATGTTGAAAGATTTTATTAGTTTTTTTAAAAACACCTAATCTGGGCAAAAATAATGGGGGTTTAGTTACATTATATGATCATACATTGCATAAGCCTGCCACAACATCAATGTACCCCATCTTTGGCAGGTCCTACACTAACAGCCTAATGTCTGCTCTTATGAGATTAACCACTTACTTGAGGAAAAAAATTCCATCTGGGGCTCTCTGCAGTACAAGGCTAAATAGGGCCCTGGGATGATCAGTAATTATATCACAGGCAGAGGGGAGGATTTTGTGTGTAATTGCTGGGAGTGTCTGAGTGTATTGTACGTATTGATTGGTTGTTCTGCAAAACCCTGTGGGCAGTACTATGTGTGTAAAATGTGCATAAAAGCAGAGTGTTGGATTAAAGCTTCAGTTCTACTTCACCCTCAATTTGGAGTGCCGTCTCTTATTGGGGGAATTTGCTACAAGGGATTGCTATGCTAGTCGTACTCTCTTGCTATATCACTACTAAGCTCTTGTAAGAGCTTGTTCCTGTCTTGCTCTCTGAAGGAGTCTACGGTGGTTATGGTGTCGGCTGGAGTGCTTGGAGCCATCAGGAAGCGCTAGGAGCATCCTTCAACGGAGGTACCCAGTCAGGGTGCCAGGTGATTCGTTTCATTGGTGGCAGTGGTGGGATAACGTCCTAGTGCGAGGAAAAGCAGCTCGGAGACACTGTTTGTGAATCTACAAGTTGAGGGCAACGCTTGTCCCCGTACAGCGCCCCTGACTACAGCAAGCATGACGTACACTATGGAAGAGTTTGACGCTATGATGAAATTGCGGCTGAAGTACTTCGGACCCAATCCAGCTGAGAAATACGTGCAGTTCGTGAGGAACCTAGTGTTCGAGAACCTGCAATACTGGGCAGAGAGAGAAGGCCGGCTGGAATGTTGTGAGGAACTCCAGTGGCAGATACAGTTACAGGAAGAGGAGAGCATCGGTCTCTCTCCCCAGCGGCAGCCAGCATCCCAGGGAGAAGAGATTGTTGGTCCCTCGTCCCTGCAGCAACCATCATCACTGGGAGTCGAGACAGTCGGTCTGACTCCCCAGCGGCAGTGTGTTGTCAAGGGAGAAGAGACAACCGGTCTCTCTCCCCAGTGGCAGCCAGCATCTCAGGGAGAGGAGATTGTCGGTCCCTCGTCCCTGCAGCAACCATCATTACTGGGAGTCGAGACAGTTGGTCTGATTCCCCAGCGGCAGTGTGTTGACAAGGGAGAAGAGACAATCAGTCTCTCTCCCCAGTGGCAGCCAGCATCCCAGGGAGAGGAGATTGTTGGTCCCTCGTCCCTGCAGCAACTATCATCACTGGGAGTCGAGACAGTCGGTCTGACTCCTCAGCGGCAGTGTGTTGACAAGGGAGAAGAGACAACCGGTCTCTCTCTCCAAGCGACAGCCAGCATCTCTGGAAGAGGAGATTGTCGGTCCCTCGTCCCTGCAGCAACCATCATCACGGGGAGTCAAGACAGTCGGTCTGACTCCCCAGCGGCAGGGTGTTGTAAAGGGAGAAGAGACAATCGGTCTCTCTTCCCAGCGGCAGCCAGCATTCCAGGGAGAGGAGATTGTCGGTCCCTCGTCCCTGCAGCAACCATCATCACTGGTAGTCAAGACAGTCGGTTTGATTCCCCAGCGTCAGTGGGTTGTAAAGGGAGGAGAGACAACCGGTCTCTCTCCCCAGCGGCAGTCAGCATCACAGGGAGAGGAGATTGTCGGTCCCTCGTCCCTGCAGCAACCATCATCACTGGGAGTGGAAATGGTCGCTCCCACTATCCAGCCCAAAGCAGCGTTCCCGGGAGTCAAAACAGTCGGTCTGACTCCCCAGCAGCAGTATGTTGTAAAGGGAGAAGAGACAATCGATCTCTTTCCCCAGCGGCAGCTAGCATCCCCGGGAGAGGAGATTGTCGGTCCCTCGTCCCTGCAGCAACCATCATCACTGGGAGTCGAGACAGTCGGTCTGACTCCCCAGCGGCAGTGTGTTGTCAAGGGAGTAGAGACAACCGGTCTCTCTCCCCAGCGGCAGCCAGCATCTCAGAGAGAGGAGATTGTCGGTCCCTCGTCCCTGCAGCAACCATCATCACTGGGAGTTGAGACAGTCGGTCTGAATCCTCAGCAGCAGTGTGTTCACGAGGGAGAAGAGACAACCAGTCTCTCTCCCCAAGCGGCAGCCAGCATCCCAGGGAGAGGAGATTGTCGGTCCCTCGTCCCTGCAGCAACCATCATCACTGGGACTCGAGACAGTCGGTCTGACTCCCCAGCGTCAGTGGGTTGTAAAGGGAGGAGAGACAACCGGTCTCTCTCCCCAGCGGCAGTCAGCATCACAGGGAGAGGAGATTGTCGGTCCCTCGTCCCTGCAGCAACCATCATTACTGGGAGTCGAGACAGTTGGTCTGATTCCCCAGCGGCAGTGTGTTGACAAGGGAGAAGAGACAATCAGTCTCTCTCCCCAGTGGCAGCCAGCATCCCAGGGAGAGGAGATTGTTGGTCCCTCGTCCCTGCAGCAACTATCATCACTGGGAGTCGAGACAGTCGGTCTGACTCCTCAGCGGCAGTGTGTTGACAAGGGAGAAGAGACAACCGGTCTCTCTCTCCAAGCGACAGCCAGCATCTCTGGAAGAGGAGATTGTCGGTCCCTCGTCCCTGCAGCAACCATCATCACGGGGAGTCAAGACAGTCGGTCTGACTCCCCAGCGGCAGGGTGTTGTAAAGGGAGAAGAGACAATCGGTCTCTCTTCCCAGCGGCAGCCAGCATTCCAGGGAGAGGAGATTGTCGGTCCCTCGTCCCTGCAGCAACCATCATCACTGGTAGTCAAGACAGTCGGTTTGATTCCCCAGCGTCAGTGGGTTGTAAAGGGAGGAGAGACAACCGGTCTCTCTCCCCAGCGGCAGTCAGCATCACAGGGAGAGGAGATTGTCGGTCCCTCGTCCCTGCAGCAACCATCATCACTGGGAGTGGAAATGGTCGCTCCCACTATCCAGCCCAAAGCAGCGTTCCCGGGAGTCAAAACAGTCGGTCTGACTCCCCAGCAGCAGTATGTTGTAAAGGGAGAAGAGACAATCGATCTCTTTCCCCAGCGGCAGCTAGCATCCCCGGGAGAGGAGATTGTCGGTCCCTCGTCCCTGCAGCAACCATCATCACTGGGAGTCGAGACAGTCGGTCTGACTCCCCAGCGGCAGTGTGTTGTCAAGGGAGTAGAGACAACCGGTCTCTCTCCCCAGCGGCAGCCAGCATCTCAGAGAGAGGAGATTGTCGGTCCCTCGTCCCTGCAGCAACCATCATCACTGGGAGTTGAGACAGTCGGTCTGAATCCTCAGCAGCAGTGTGTTCACGAGGGAGAAGAGACAACCAGTCTCTCTCCCCAAGCGGCAGCCAGCATCCCAGGGAGAGGAGATTGTCGGTCCCTCGTCCCTGCAGCAACCATCATCACTGGGACTCGAGACAGTCGGTCTGACTCCCCAGCGTCAGTGGGTTGTAAAGGGAGGAGAGACAACCGGTCTCTCTCCCCAGTGGCAGTCAGCATCACAGGGAGAGGAGATTGTCGGTCCCTCGTCCCTGCAGCAACCATCATCACTGGGAGTGGAAATGGTCGCTCCCACTATCCAGCCCAAAGCAGCGTTCCCGGGAGTCAAAACAGTCGGTCTGACTCCCCAGCAGCAGTATGTTGTAAAGGGAGAAGAGACAATCGATCTCTTTCCCCAGCGGCAGCTAGCATCCCCGGGAGAGGAGATTGTCGGTCCCTCGTCCCTGCAGCAACCATCATCACTGGGAGTCGAGACAGTCGGTCTGACTCCCCAGCGGCAGTGTGTTGTCAAGGGAGTAGAGACAACCGGTCTTTCTCCCCAGCGGCAGCCAGCATCTCAGAGAGAGGAGATTGTCGGTCCCTCGTCCCTGCAGCAACCATCATCACTGGGAGTTGAGACAGTCGGTCTGAATCCTCAGCAGCAGTGTGTTCACGAGGGAGAAGAGACAACCAGTCTCTCTCCCCAAGCGGCAGCCAGCATCCCAGGGAGAGGAGATTGTCGGTCCCTCGTCCCTGCAGCAACCATCATCACTGGGACTCGAGACAGTCGGTCTGACTCCCCAGCGTCAGTGGGTTGTAAAGGGAGGAGAGACAACCGGTCTCTCTCCCCAGTGGCAGTCAGCATCACAGGGAGAGGAGATTGTCGATCCCTCGTCCCTGCAGCAACCATCATCACTGGCAGTGGAAATGCTCGCTTCCACTATCCAGCCCCAAGCAGCGTTCCCGGGAGTCAAAACAGTCGGTCTGACTCCCCAGCGGCAGTATGTTGTAAAGGGAGAAGAGACAATTGATCTCTCTCCCCAGCAGCAGCCAGCATTCCAGGGAGAGGAGATTGTCGGTCCCTCGTCCCTGCAGCAACCATCATCATTGGGATTCGAGACAGTCGGTCTGACTCCCCAGCGGCAGTGTGGTGTCAAGGGAGAAGAGACAATTGGTCTCCCTCCCCAGCGGCAGCTTACCCTACAACGGGGAGACCCTACCCCCCCAGTCGGTGCAGATGGGACCGTAGTCTCTGCACCCGACCTACAGGGATGTTGGACAGCTCGTCCAGATCCCCAACTACCCTCGCAGGGCTACCAGGAGGAGGAGGTAAGCGATGTCTCCCCTCCCCAGCCAAGTTGCATCCTGGCTACCCCAGAATTTTATTCTGTTTCAGATCTATTGAGCGCTCAGATCCGAGCTATCTGGGGATAGGTTGAATGTTGTGGTTCTGTTCAGTATGACAGGAATTATGTATTTATATGTATTCTAACTGTTGTTGTAAATGGAGATATTTTCTGTATGCTGAAGATAATTGGCTTACCACACCCAAGCCATGCTTGCAGTTGGTCAAAAAGGGATTTCCAACTAAAGTTTGAACCACTGGACCAATTTGTATTTGGAGTATGCTGATTCTGAAAATGTAAATTGTATGTGAATGTGATGTATACTTTTAAAGTTATGAATATTGTGTAAAATTGTGTATTTTCCTGCCTGTGATAATTACGTTAGCCCATTGTGTTCAGTAATTATATCACAGGCAGAGGGGAGGATTTTGTGTGTAATTGCTGGGAGTATTGTATGTATTGATTGTTTTTTCTGGAAAACCCTGTGGGCAGTACCATGTGTGTAAAATGTGCATAAAAGCAGAGTGTTGGATTAGATTTCACTTCACCCTGAATTTGGAGTGCCGTCTCTTATTGGGGGAATCTGCTACAAGGGATTGCTATGCTAGTCATACTCTCTTGCTATTAAGCTCTTGTAAGAGCTCGTTCCTGTCTTGCTCTCTGAAGGAGTCTACGATAGTTATGGTGTCGGCTGGAGGGCTTGGAGCCCTCAGGAAGCGCTAGGAGCATCCTTCAACGGAGGTACCCAGACGGGGTGCCAGGTGATTCGTTACATCAACTATTAACAGTACAATTCAAATTTTATTGAACAAACCTCCTAATGATAACAGTTTTTTTTTTAAAACATAAAAAACTTACAATACACTGTTCCAAATTATTACGCACGGTAAATTTCAAAACACTTTATAGGTTGTCAAGAACTGAAAATTGTCATTTGTTGTGTTTGCAGCATATTTACTGAAATCAAAAGCTATTTCAATCAAACTTATAACAACATTTTAACTTTTTAAACATTTTAACAGGTCACGTTACATTTTAACATAGGACCCTTTATTTGATAGCAGCTTCACAAGTCTTGCATCCATTGAACTTGTGAGTTTTTGAATTTGTCTGCAAGATGTCAGAAAAGCCTCCCAGAGCTGCTGTTTAAACTGCCTTCCACCCTCATATATCTTTTGCTTGAGGATGCTCCAAAGGTTCTCAATAGGATTGAGGTCAGGGGAGGATGGAGGCCACACCATGACTTTCTCACCTTTTATCCCCATAGCAGCCATTGATGCAGAGGTATTCTTTGCACCATGAGACCCCTTTAGGGTCACCGAAGGTGTAAAGATGACCTCTGCAAAGTATGTGGAGTTTCTGACTGACCACTTTCTTCCCTGGTACAGAAGGAAGAACTATGCTTTCCGTAAAAAAAAACATTTTCATGCATGACAATGCACCACTTCAATCATTTGGTGCCTGGAGTCTATAAATGCAATGATTCGCTATGAAATGCTGCACGTATTGAGACTATCCCCACCTCCAGCAGCGTCATCGGGGAGTCATTAGTCAGCCAATATGAATTCTGTGCAAATTTGGCATCAGACAGGCAGTTTGGAACAAAAAGGGAATCAACAGTGAATTTCTAAATTTATGACACATTAGCTAAACCATACAATAGCTGGTTTATTTATTTATTAATTTTTATGTTTTGTCTATTGTGCCCGATAATTTTAAATTCACTTTAAAATCTCAACATTTATCACCTTAATGATTAAATCTTAAAATTAAATACGGTTCAAAGCCATTTTTGTGATGATAGTCAGTTGATTTGTGTATAGCAGAGTGACAAACCAAAGTTAAAACAGAATCCATTTCATTGTAGAGTGAATTAGAGACAAGTCATTTCAAACTGGTTGAATTGTGCAACCATTAAATGCTTAGACTAGGTCATGCCATGGAGTGGATTTGTATTTATTAGAATAGAATTAATGTGATGATATTGAAAGCAAAAGTCATACTTTTTGCAAACACACTGGCTGGAAGATATTCATTGTGGAATGTTGCACATCTTACGACGTAGCAAAATAAGCAAGAAATTAGGATCTGAAGTCAAGTTTTTTGATTAAGCAAATATTTTCACATCTGCAAAATGGAAACCAAAGTTAATTTTTTTCTGGCAGACTTTAGTAAATTGTGCTTTGTAGTATGTTGTGCTATGCAATATCATAACTATATACTAGATTCTAATCTATACTATAACTATAATCTAATTAAAATTCATGTACTTCATGCAAGGCTGCAAGCTCCTTCTTTACCACTAGATGGCAGTGTACAGTGTCCATAAGTAGGTACATGGAGGGTTTTTCACAGATAGGGAATTGTTGGACAAAATAATTACGCTTTTAAAGCAGGTTAGTACTAAAATCGTACTAAAATGTACAATTGTTCACAGTTTGGTATGTAAGCACAGTGGATTACAAAAGTAGCAAATTTTTGCATACCACTGATGGGGTGGGCTCCAGTGGAAAAAGACAGTATAGCTTAATCTGGGTATTATTGCACATCTACTGTTTGGTTAAATAAGGGGCAGACATCTTTACTCTCCATTGGTTTGGAATCTAGTGTTAGAAATACCAATATGTATTCCCTTTTTTCCCTCGTTGTTCCCGTCTCCATACTCAAGCCTTCTTGGCTGAAATCATCAATGTTTATGATTTCAGCTAATCTAATGCTTTCTCATAGGAAGACATTGGGAGGCTAGTGTGCACGCATGGCAAAATGCAGCGCTGTGACAATAAGGTGGTCTCCTTAGACCACCTGACCACAACAGCAGAGTTTTACTTTGCGAATTGATGGATGTTCCTCTAATGGCTGTCAAGTTTCAACTGCAGAGTTAAAAGCAGGGGAACATGGGACCTAGACCTCTTGAGCTAAAGTGGTCTGGGTGCCTGTAGTGTTTTAATGAATGCACTATTCATATATAGCTGGATAATAAGTGATTGGCTCTCTGTATGTCCATTCAACTGCCCATAGTCAGCCACCTCCTGTACCCATCCAGGAAATGCTATATTAATCCTGAATTAAGGAAGTTTGCCCTTAGAACGGATACTTACTTATTATATGCTTCTCAACCAAATACCTTGATTAATTCAACATCCACAGGGTTTTGAAAGAAAATGAAAATTCAAAATTAATTTGAAGTGAATTTAAAATTTAAGGTCAAAATAGCCCAACTAAAAAATTCTCTAAATTACCTGTGCTTTCAGTTCAGCAACTCTGGCCTTAAATAAGGGGCAGACATCTTTATTCTCCATTGGTTTGGAAGAATTGCTTACCCAGCAAAAGTTGATGTATTCTGATGCTATGTGGAAGTACTGAGCATGTCAAGAGATTTTTCCTGAGACAGTTTAAAGGACCACTATAGGCACCCAGACCACTTCAGCTTAATGAAGTGGTCTGGGTGCCAGGTCCATCTAGGATTAACCCTTTCTGCTGTAAACATAGCAGTTTCAGAGAAACTGCTATGTTTACATATGTATTAATCCAGCCTCTAGTGGCTGTCTCATTGACAGCCGCTAGAGGCGCTTTCACGCTTCTCACTGTGATTTTCACAGTGAGAAGACGCCAGCGTCCATAGGAAAGCATTGAGAATGCTTTCCTATGAGACTGGCTGAATGCGCGCACGGCTCTTGCGCATTCAGCCGGTGACGGAAGAAGAGGGAGGAGAGTCCCAGCGCCGAGGGAGCCGGCACTGGAAAAAAGGTAAGGGATTAAGCCCTTCCTCCCCCTTCAGCGCCACAGGAGTGGGACCCTGAGGGTGGGGGCACCCTCAGGGCACTAAAGTGCCAGGAAAACGAGTATGTTTTCCTGGCACTATAGTGGTCCTTTAAGCTGCCATTTGGCCTTTTTCGTCAGTCAGAAAAGTAGCATTTCCAACCAAGGGAACTTAAAGATGACTTTCCACTTGGAGCAAAAGAAAATCAAGAGATGTACTGGAAAAAAAGTTCTTTTATTATGTCTGCATTAAAAAAAAACAACACAAAAATAGGAATTATGACATGTAATATTTTTTTTTCAATCATGATAACAAATTTTTACAGATTTCCTTTAAAAGATCCAAGATACCAACTGAGAATACAGAGATGTACTTTTTGGGTAATAATTAACATGATGCAACTGTGGACTGTAGGATAAACTCTCTTTGTTTGTTTTTAATTTGTAGCTCTAGGCAATGCACCGTCAGAAATAATGAAGATATAACACGCTTGTTGTACTGTCATTGCCTTTTCTAGCTATGGAGTTGGACAATATTTGGCAAACTGAGAAAAATGTCCCCTGGAGACCTTTTAATCCAGCAGTTTTGGATAATAATACTTTCCTCACTCACCCTGAAAGCTATTCGAGGCACTGCAGGACAGAAGGTAAGAAACAGACAAAAAAAACTTTTGTACATTGTCGTATTTTATCAGAAATATAGGGGAGATGTACAAAGGAGTGAAAAGTTAGGGATATTTTACTTAGAATTCTTTGCTACTTTTCACAGTGTATTAACTGTCTTCTACGAATATTCATAAATAAATTTGACCAGAAGTTAAAGGGAAAACGTCACTCTACGATATTCCATAAAACACTTAAAGGGATTCTATAGTGCCAGGAAAAGAAAGCTGTTTTCCAGGCACTGTAAAATCCTACAGTGCCCCCCTCCTTCGCGCCCCCCTCCCACGCGGCTGAAGGGATTAAAACCCCTTCAGTCACTCACCTGAATCCAGCGCTGATGTCCCTCGACGTTGGGTTAGGATCCGCCCCTTCTCCTCCCCTGCCGACGTCAGCCGGTGGGGGAGACCTAATGTGCATGCGCGGCAATGGCCACACTCGCATTTGGATTTCCCCATAGGAAAGCATTATTTAGTGCTTTCCTATGGGGAAAATCTAACGCTGAAGGTCCTCGTGCAGAGCGTGAGGACGTCCGGCATCAGAAAACGGACCAAAGGTCCTTTTGGATTCCTGAAGTTCCTCTAATGGCTGTCTGGTAGACAGCCACTAGATGAGGAGTTAACCCTGTAAGGTAATTATTGCAGTTTCTCAAAAACTGCAATAATTACCATTGTAGGGTTAAGAGACATGGGACATTGCACCCAGACCACTTCAATGAGCTGTAGTGGTCTGGGTGCCTACAGTGTCCCTTTAAAATCAGCTATAACTAGTGTTGACTTTTTTTTTAATGAGATGAGCTGTCTTCTTTTACATTTATATTAAAGGTTTAGCAAATGGCATCACAATTGAACTTAGACAAAGCAAAACCAAGGCAAACATTGCCAATGAACAGAACAAACAGAAACATTGTGTTTGCTTCTCTATGATGGATGCCAGTCGCTAAGGACAGAGTTTGTCACAATGATTGACAGGAAACTAAGATGGAGGCTCCCAGGTACAAGATAAAAGGTGTGGATTTCAACATTTAATAATAGTTTTTTTACAATTCACCAATACATATTTGTTAAATACAGAAATAAGTTAACATTGTATTAAATATCCTGGAAAATAACAGTTCCCGTTCTGGTGACCTATCTGGAGTGTTCTCAGCCAGTGAGTCTTGCATTAGTAGCAGATTCTTAGTCAACTGAGACATTGAGAAGTTATGGGACAATTCTGGATTAGGGACCTGGAAACATGGGTTGACTGAGATCATTGCAGATGGTGCCGGTTACCTAAGCGACCACTAGAGAACTATAGCGTTACAAGTGCAGCCTCTGTGCCCGCATGCTTAGGGTGCCCATCAGGTTAGAGCCACCTGGGGGACATGTGAAAGACAGAGCCTCCGAGGAAAGCCACCCTCCTGCACCCAAAAGGTAGCAAAATGGAGAGTGGCTTAAAAAGTGTAAATTGTGTGTGTGTGTGTGTGTGTGGTGTCAGTGAGTGACACAAAACTTAAGTAGCTCAAACAGAAAAACAAAAACAAATGTAGTTTATTGTACTTTTTATTTTTAACACTGGTGGGGTGCCACCCCCATGGACAAGTTTCCACTAGTTTTTCGAATAATATTTAGTAGAGATGAAAGTAGAACCTTTTGTCACCAATGATAAATGTCCTGTTTGTGAAGAACTAAACACATTATGTTAAAGAACCTCTTCTCAATGTCCACATTAGTGGCTGCTTTACAATATTGGAACCCAAAGAATGGCATCATTGAAGGAGCAATACATTCTAGATTGCCCTCAAATAGTACAGGAGAATAACAAATTGTTCTTTCACGAGGTGAGGCTTAGCAGAAAGCATGACAGCTATCCTAAATGCACATGGCTGAAGAAATATATATATTTTTTTGGAATGGAATTAATAAACAGGTACAATAAATGTTTGATTATAATACTTGGTGCTCAGAGAGGTTCAACTAAACACCAAATCCAAAGTGATTATACACTTCCTTTTCCCAAAGTATTGGTGTATTTTGGACAAATGTTCCCCAAAGAAGTGAAAAGGTTAGATGTTTTATTATTATATGTTTAATAAAATTATTAGTGGGACTATTGAATAAAATATCAATGGCAACAATGTGGTGAAAATGAAACCCCTGTTTTTAAATTAATTAATTAGTCAAAACATTGCCAAAATTGTGCAAAAAATGAATATTGGAAACAAAAAAGAATTATACCTTCAAAGTGTCCTCCAGAACTCCCGTGAAGACAGACTCCTCCTTTACCACAAAGAGACTGTTCTCAAACAAACCCATTTAAATCTGTATTGATCAGTACAATGTGTATTAGCGCTGGCCAGGGCCGGCCTTAGGCCTTCAGGCGCCCTGTGCGAAAAATCTTAACAGCGCCGCGCCATCCATGTGTATAGGGGATTTATTAAATGAAAATTTAACAATTAACAAATATTTATCACCTCTTCCCTGTCATTACCTTGCATGGAGGGAGGGCATGCTGATCTCTGGTGATACAGTTTGCTGGGAATATGGTCGGTGCCTTCACTGGGTGCAGACCATCAGCAACTGTCTCCTGAGCTCAGGCACTTACAGTATCAGAGCTTTCCTGTGGTAATCCGCGGCAACGTTCTGATTGGCCGGAACTCGGAAGACAGCTACATTTATCATGTGTGTGTCAGACGTGATTGTGTGATGTGTTCTCTGTGTGCCATATTTGTAATGGGTGTATTGACTGTGTCTGATATGTGTGTGTATTGACCGTGTGTGATTTTTGTTCACTATAGCAGTAGATAGGGGGAGCAGGGGCACTGGGGTAGATGTGGGAGCAATGCACTATAGCAGTAGATAAGGGGAGCAGTGTCACTAGGGTAGACAGGGAACAATGGCAATATAGGGGGAGCATGGGCACAATAGGGATGGATAAGGAGCATGGGCACTATAGGGGTAGATGGAGGGATCAGGTACACTATAGGGGTAAATGGGGAAGCACTATAGGGGTAGATGGGGAGCAGGGGTGCTATAGTGGTAGATCGAGGAGCAGGGGCACTATAGAGGTAGATAGGGGGAACTATAGAGATAGATGGGGAACATGGGTACTATAGGAGTAGAGGGGGCACTATAGGAGTAGAGGGGGCACTATAGGGGTAGAGGGGGGCACTATAGGGATAGATGGGGAACAGGTGTACTATAGGGGGAGCAGGGGCACTATAGGGGTAGAGGGGGAACAGGGGTACTATAGTGGGAGCAGGGGCACTGTAGGGATAGATGGGAACAGGGGTACTATAGGTGTAGATGGGGGCACTATAGGGATAGATGGGGAACAGGGGTACTATAGTGGGAGCAGGGGCACTGTAGGGATAGATGGGAACAGGGGTACTATAAGGGGAGCAGGGGCACTATAGGTGTAGATGGGGGCACTATAGGGATAGATGGGGAACAGGGGTACTATAAGGGGAGCAGGGGCACTATAGGTGTAGATGGGGGCACTATAGGGGTAGAGGGGGCACTATAGGTATATATGGGGAACAGGGGTACTATAGGGGTAGAGGGGGCACTATAGGGAACAGGGGTACTATAGGGGTAGAGGGGGGTCACTTTAGTGGTAGAGGGGGAACAGGGTTACTATAGGGGTAGAGGGGGGCCCTATAGGGATAGGGGGCACTATAGGGATAGATGGGGAACAGGGTTACTATAAGAGTAGAGGGGGCACTATAGGGATAGATGGGGAACAGGGTTACTATAGGGGTAAAGGGTGCACTATAGGGGAAGAGGGGGGCACTATAGGGATAGATGGGGAACAGGGTTACTATAGGGGTAGAGGATAGATACACTATAGGGGAAGAGGGGGGCACTATAGGGATAGATGGGGAACAGGGTTACTATAGGGGTAGAGGGGGGCACTATAGATAGATGGGGAACAGGATTACTATAGGGGAAGAGGGGGCACTATAGGGATAGATGGGGAACAGGGGTACTATAGGGGAAGAGGGGGGCACTATAGGGATAGATGGGGAACAGGGTTACTATAGGGGTAGAGGGGGGCACTATAGGGATAGATGGGGAACAGGGGTACTATATAGGGGAAGAGGGGGGCACTATAGGGATAGATGGGGGGGTACTATAAGAGGGGGGCACTATAGGGATAGATGGGGAACAGGGGTACTATAGGGGGAGCAGGGGCACTATGGTCTCACTTACCAGGCAGCAGATTCAGGCCTCGGTTAGCTCCGCCCCCGCCGACCACTTGGCTCCGCCCCCATCGGCTGCTTGGCTCCGCCTCCTACAGTCTCTTTCGCTGCTAAGCCCTGGTAGAGGGCAGGGGGTGTGCAAGCTGTCAGCCATAGGGCGCCCCCTGCTGCCATGGCGCCCTGTGCGGCCGCACAGCTCGCACACCCCTAAGGCCGGCCCTGGCGCTGGCATATTACATAATGTTTTGTTTTATTTATTGATTGATGATTTCTAATTTTGATTAATTAATACTATATAATGCATGAAAGCAGTTGTAGTGGTTATGGTGCTAGGAATCACTTGGCGACATCTCATTGTTAAGAGTTAATTATTTTACAAGCTGTTTGAACCTTACCCGGGTCTCCAAGGTGTCTGTGGTCTAGGGCCAATTCATAGATATCACTAAGGAGAAAGTTCCCCTTCCAGATGAGATTTAACAAATGTTTCCATATTTGGATCTAACTAGTAAAGATGCTCCTTAGCCAATTAATTCCATCTAAAGATGGATGGAAAACGGACAGAATTGCTATCGTATAGGAACATCCACTTAACAATATCTTTAAGGAGGGGCTAGATTGGGGGACCCAGATACCTGTCAAGCTGTACGATAGAAGGTTTTACTCATTACTGTATGGTGCTAGGAGACTTCTTGCACCATAACCACTACAACAAGCTGTTGTTATTATGTTGCTTAGAGTGTCTCTTTAAATGTGTGCATTGCACATACTTCCATGGGTCATTTAATTAAACGTGTTCTGGCACTTTGGTTGCACAGAATTACAATTCATGCTGGTTAAAGCGATGGGATTTTTACTGCAGTACGTCCATAGGAAAGCATTGAAAAAAAAAAAAAAGCGAATTATTTGGCTGGTTTACCATGATAGGAGTAGTAGTCCGTAATTCTGACAATAACTTCCCAGCCCATCCTTTTCGACCACATTCTTTTTGCAACATATTCCTTTTTGTAGCCTGGGTCTGTTGGCACATTGTGATAACCTTTATTCTCGATGAATCTGAGATGGCAAAGTCTTTATAAATTAGCTTTTTATGTATTCAGCGAGCAAGAACAGAGAACAATAAGAGCCTTCCCAAGCAATTCTAAGCTACAGATCTACAATGCATAAAGGGGAGTTCACATTGTACGCCTCCCAGTGGACAATGTGCTTTGTGTGTTGCAAAATCTTTAATTATACCAGCAGTAAACAGGGCTGTATTAGAATACCAAGCTCGCTGGTGTATGCATGTCTGTCTGTCTGTATGCATGTATGTATGTCTTTGTATGTATGAATGTCTGTATGTCTATCTGTCTGTCTGCATGCATGTATGTATGTGTATGTATGTATGTCTGTATGTATGTCTGTATGCATGCATGTATGTCTATCTGTATGTATGTCTGTGTATGCATATATGTATGTCTGTATGTCAGTATGAATGTATGTTTGCATATCATTATGAACGCATGTATGTGTGTATGGATGTCTGTATGCATGTATATCTGTCAGTATTTCTGTATATATGAATGTATGCCAGTCTGAATGTATGTATGTATGTATGTCAGTATGCCATTATGAATGTATGTCTGTGTATGTCTGTATGCCATTATGAATTTATGTGTGTATGAATGTATGTGTGTATGTGTGTATGTATGTCGGTGTCTGTATGTATGTATGTGTCTTTATGTCCTCATGCATGTGTGTCTGTATGTATGTTAGTATGTGTCTGTCTGTCACTATGTATGCCTGTGTGTATGTGTCAGTATGTATGCCAGTATGCGTGTATGTCTGTTTCAGTATGTGTGTCTGTTAGTATGTATCTGTGTCCTTTTGTATCAGTGTGTGTGTTTGTGTCTGTGTGTGTGTATTCCTGTGGGCGGTATTTGGAGGCGGGCCCAGTGGGCGGTATTTGGAGGCGGGCCCCATGGGGCCCAGACCCTGAGCTGAGTTAGGGGCCCCAAAATTTCTGGTGGCTGCCCTGGTAAAGGGCACTGTCTGCGTCTCCCCCCTCCCTCCATCACTGTGTGCTCTGTAGGTAGTTTTCCTTCTGCAGATTTTACTGCCTAATGTTTTGGGCTGAAATGGGCAACTTGTTGCATTGCAGCTATTGACTGTTTACAAATCCTGTCATCCCTCATCTCTAGGTGTTCCGTTAGAAAAAAATAAATAACGAAAAATATATCAAAGCAGCTGTTGGACTGCAAGTCCCATTATCACTAGCCAGGAAAAAAAAGCATCTATTTTTAGACTGATACTTCTGCCATCACTAGCTCATTAAACCCATTGGACTGCAACGTCCATCCAGCACCAAAGTTACCATCACTGGTGAGTGGTGGGAGCACACAGTGACATTACCTAACACTCCAGCTGCTGACTAGCACTTTGTAAGCCAAGGCCATAGGGACACGCTACACTCTGAGATTCACTGAAACTCAACCAATGTCCTTGGTACATTTTAGGTCACAATAGCCAAGTCAGCTATAGTTTAATATTTATTTTGAATTCCAGATGTTTCACACCTTAGTGAACAGCCCTGTATAATTTCTTAGAGTGGGTAGCACATTTCATGCAGTACCAAACAGTATGTCGAAGCTAAATGTGACTAGATGATTTAATCCAGGTGCTTAAAAAAACAACAGGTAAAGGATAGCATGCACTTAAAGTTTTACTATAAGCACCATTACCACTTCACTGATTTGAAGTGCTCGTGGTGCCTAGAGATTGTCGTTGCAGCATTTAGCTCTCAAATGCTGCACATACAGAGTTTAACCACTCGACTGCCGGAGGTGTAACTTTACGTCTAGTAGCATAATTGGGCCGTCAGTAGACAGCTCAGAACAAGATCTCCTGGTGGCTAAGGCTAATTCTGTCAGCATGGCAACAGACAGTGTTTTCTTAAAAATGTGTTTTTGTTTTTTTTTGGGTTGGAGTAACCTATTAATATAGCCTTGAGCTGTGGACTAAAGGAATTGTTTCTTTAAATTTCTATGGCATGACATCTCAGTCACTGCTTCCGCACACTGGCAACAGTGGAATATGTCCAAGTTCTTCCTTCATCTAAGGCCCCAAGAGAGGCAGCCGAGGTCTTTAAAATTGCTGGTTACAGCTCCAACCTTTATATGATGCCAGTACAGATGGAGGAAGCATAGGATTTAAAGTGCACAGGGGACTCAGATGTTCCAATAAAAGAGATGGGAAGAGATCTAAGATGTTGTTGTATTATCAGAAGAGCCGTGTAGTTTGACTGGGAAACAAGGCTTTTAGGAATTCAAAACATTAGCTTGTGTATGGAAGTACATTATCTTTTCTTTAACGAGCTTATTGATTAATCTCTGCCATAAATCCCTTTGTGCCTCTTTCCATTCTTCATAGACAACTTCTCAACACAGTGTTCAGAAAATTGGGTTGAATTATCCTTAAACAATTTCACACCGAGATGCTGAATATATTCATTCTGAAAAAAAGTGGATATACCTGTGATGTAGGTGTGCCTAGGATTAAAGGAACACTATAGGGTAAGGAACACAAACATGTATTCCTGACCCTATAGTGTTAAAAAGATTTATTTAGACCCCCTATGCCCGCCTTGCCATCCTAAATATAGCAAAATCTTACTTTTATTGCAGTCTGCTGCTGCTGGCTCTGTCCCTGATCTGTCTACTTGGCTGACATCATCAGAAGTGTTCACATAGGAAAGCATTGGATTGGCCGAGACTGTCAAGGAAGCAGATCAGGGGCAGAGTCAACACCTCTAGTAGCCATCTGAGTAGTGGCCTAGGCTGTAATGAAAACACTGCCTTTTCCCTGAAAACACAGTGTTTACTGCAAAAAGCCTGAAGGGAATGGTTATGCTCACCAGAACAAATACGATAAGTTGTAGTTGGTCTGCTGACTATAGTGTCCCTTTAATTTATTTGTATAAATGTGATTAGGAACTCAGCACTATGGTCTGGTCATAGCTGAACAGGTGGCTGGAGGGTGGACTTCCTTTTTATAGTCTATTGTTTTCTCTATTTAACAAAGTAATTTTAAGTCACATAATGACAAAATCTTCAGTGTTCTAGTAGAGTAAATATTTAATGAGTTAAATCTTAAATCATGTTAAGTGTAGATAGAAATAATTTTCTGGATTTAATAGATATTTCTTGCGTTAGCATAAAGATGCTTCCTTAATGAACCCGCTATTTGTCCAGAAAACCATGGTTGGTTTAGAGTAGACCATTGGTGGTGATGCTACAAGGGGGATCGGCGGTGATGCTACAAGGGGACATGTCTGTCTAAAAATGGTTATGTTTCACCTTGAAAAGAGGGTGTGCCAGCATGGCATTAATGAAACAGAGCAACTAGCCCCATTCAGGACTATTTTTTTTTTCATACACAGGAAACAAGTCCATTGCTTCCCCAGCAATTCATCTTATTATATGTCTTGCAACATTAGATTCCATGTAGCCATATCATTTTTACTCATTGTTCCTGCGGTATGTCTCCATGGTTCATTCGGAGGGTCCCTTCAAATTGTCTTTGCACACATTAAAAATTCCTTGCACTCAAAGTGAGCTCGATTCAAAGGTATAGGAAAAAATATATTATCTACATTATAACAAAAAATAAATCCTAAAATAAATTAAAATACGACCTATAGTAAAGTATTACTAACCCAAAGACTGTTTTGGCTGAAAATGTTTCACGTATGAATGGCGCTTTTAACAGGGCTGTTGAGAAAGCGTTGTACAGACATGAAATTTCTTCAGCCAAGACAGGCATGTGTTTAGTCCTGTGGCTCCCCCTTGGAATAGTAACACAAACATTATACTTTACTACCTCCCATGGGATCCAAATTTACTTTCCCACTGAATGCTGGCCTGTTTTAGGGGGACAAACAAATCCTGTCTCAGCTCTACTTTGACCAACAAGGGGTTTTGTAAATGAACCTCTTAATAATTGTGTGCGTTGCAAGTAGCCTGTGACTGACAAATTCCAACAATAGGTGGAGCTGCAGCAAGTTCACATGGTTGAATAGAATAAACATATTAACGCAGCTGTTTTCAGCCTGAATGACCAGCTGAGGATCCCCAGCTCTAACTGACACTCTGTTTACAGGTTAAGATGTTTTTCTGTTACTCTGTATAGAATCCTTGTTTGTTTATTACCCCAGTACTGTATAATTCCCTTCACTTCACATTTTGAGTCCATGTTATTTCAGTGAACAACTAACAGTTTTTAAAGCCTTTTATATTTATTTGTTCTGTATGCACTGCTGAGATTTCTTATTCTCTTTTTTTTTCTTTTTGCAAATTCAACAGCTTCAAACAACATCACAACGCTGAGCAACATCAGAGGTATTGCATTTGATATTCCTGCTGAGTTCTAGACTGTCTTTTGCTTTATGGGTGGGCATGCTAGCTGCGATATGCTTTAATAAGGGCACCCCCTTAGGTGTACAAAGCTACCTAGTCAGCATGTCCCAGGAACTGAATGTGGATATATCTAAATTTACAATATGCAGAAAAAATGTTATGTAATTAAAGGGAATCTATAGTGTTAGGAATACAAATCTGTATTCCTAACACTATAGTGCCCTCTGTCCCCCCCCACCACTTCCCCCCATTGTGCCCCCTTCTCCCCAACGTGGCACATTAGTGCGCTGCTCCGACTCCACCGATGTTATCCGACAGGGGGACCTAATGCGCATAAGAGCCAAGCATTGCAAGCTTATTAGACCCTCCCCATAGGAAAACATTGAATTAATATTGATTGACGATATTGTCAAATATAATGTAGAACTGAAATAGCATGACAACAATAGTAACAAGTCCAAAGAAGAACACAACTAGTATGACAATACTAACAGATACAAGGTATAAACTCTTCAGGCGGACAAAACTACCAGGTCCAAAGTAGAACCAACTTAAAGAACAAATCTTATGACTCTTACAAGCTCACATGTTTTAGATCACCAAAGACAAGAACTAAGTGGCGTGGTGCCCTATGTTGAGACAGTTGTAGCCACAATACCCATCTTTACCTGAAAGGGAAACAGCTGTGCCATATTTAGTGTAAGAACATTGCTCTACAGAGCAAAGAATAAAATATGATGTTCTATTGTTCCACAGAGTAACCAATAAGATTGTAGGGATAATTGTGGGACAAAGTATAACAAATAATATTTTGTGAAAATAATTAAAGATATTCATTACTTAGTTCAATATTACAAATCAATCAATGAGACGCTACAATCCACAATTTTCAAAGAGGTACACCATCCTTAATTTAGTGAACAATCCCTTAGATTAGTAGCCAATTAGATTAATGGGTGCTTGGTTCTAAGTTTAGTGAATAAATTCATAGATCAGCACAGTATTATAGGTGTGTTGATAGCGCATTATTCTCAGTTTTGTTAGTAACTCCATAGAAATGTAGCATATTGGGACTACGGGTGGAAAAATCTCAGTGATCTGACCCTTGGACACAGCTGCACCCCTTGTAAACCTTATCATTATATCGATAAACGTTCTTTGATCTTCTCTAAAAGAGAGGTTTTGGATACAGTCAGTTTTGCTTTGTTCAGTTCTGTATAAAGACATGAATTGCCAGACTATAGCAGTCTAGTTTGAAGTAGTATCGTACACATTTCAAATACTGGCTTGTGGCAGTGCCAGAAATAAGAGAGTAATTAGTGAAATCAAATGAGAGGGAACTTGTAATGTGTTTCTACTTTTTGAACAGATGGTGCTACTAGCAGGAGACCACCTCCAAAGCCACTGACAAACAAACCAGGCATCTGCTCTGCACGGGGCAAGGATCAAACACACAAATCACCTTAACTGGTGGCTTGGTGCCATTGGCTGAAACAAGTTTCCACCTCTTGGGAAAAGTAAAATGGAACAAGCAAACTAAACTGAGCTCATTCACTTTATTAATAATTTCATGTCAATTTCTTCTAGAGCAAGGTTGTCCCATGTTCTACCAAGGAGCCAAAAACAGAATGCCATAACTTTGAAACTAGAACCATGGGTGACGTTTCGCCCCAGGCCGTCACATTTTGTGTACAGTGGTCTCAGAGCTTGGCTGCCTAATAGAGTTTAGCTTCCATCTTAAAAAATCTGCACATGCACAAGAATGTATTTCACAAAGTGCTACAAAATCTAAATAAAGCAAGAATTAAACAGGTTTGTTTTAAAATACAACATGGAAATGCTGGTAAAATACACAAACACAGCCCCTTACTATAATAAATGATTTTTGCATGTTATTTGTATAATTCACAGGCACAATAACTTGTAATTGTAGCTGATTATTACAGATTATTGTATATTACATGTACACAATGTTTTAAAATATGAACTGGTTTTTAAAGATTATTATACCGCACCTGTAGCGGAGTAGTAGTATTATCCACGGTATCTCCGCTGGTAGACAGAATCAAGCAGGTACAAAGCAGATAAAATCCAGGTAGCGTAGTTACAATCCCTTCCCAAGAACTAGACGACACATAGCTTGGAGGTCAACTGAGGTTTTTAATTACAGGCACCGTATTTATGTGGTTACAAATGTACGGGATTTCCCAAGTCACAATGCAGGGTTTGTCCAGTAGGGGACTACATGGGGGACTAAGTTTTACACACATAATACATTGCTGTACCAAGGAGATAATTATCCCAGAATGCATTGCTAATGGGATTATCCCTTGGTACAGAGGGACACAGTTTTTACATTAAAATCCATAACCAGCATAATATTTGGGCTAAACAGTTAGTTCACTCTTTATTACATAGCTGGGACCTGGGCGCACAGTTAAGTGAACTTGCGCTCAGATCCCAGCACAAATAACCGAACGCCGTTCAGTTTCCCTTCTCAGGTCCCATTCGTTTAACCAATTGCCTGAACTGAGGGAATGAAAGTCCCTAAAACGGTAAACTCCCGAACGGCTCGGAAGTCCAGCGGGGCTTGTGTTACCGAGTAGCCGATTTTAGTTCCAGGCACTCGATGGCAAAACCCCGCTGGCTTTCCGCGAACAAAGATGGCCGCCGCCTCATGTTCGGTACACGAATGGCGGCCACCCACAACAAACCGCAATTAACACAGATACAATGTTGCAAAGTACCCAATTGGAGACACACGACCTGCTACGGGTGGTCTCCCATTCGGTACTTTGCTTATTCCACGAACAGTGTGGTGATTCACTGTTCGTGGATAACCATGCTTAACATTAGCGGTATTCGTGTGCTGTAACACACGAATGCCGCGTACATTACAAGAAATAGGGAATAGCAGAAGCAATATACAGTTCGGTTTAAAGATGTAGTTTGGGTCTATAAGTGGCTAGATCTGCCACAGCACCCAATGACTGTGTTTTATTGGGTCAGAATTAATTAACAGGAAGAATCAGTTCTAAAACGGCTAAAGGGATAGGTATTCTCTTGCAAAAGACAAAATATTACAACCCTATCACATTCCATGAACCTATATCTCAAGGATATTTCACAGTGCCTCAATATTTTGCTTTTAAAGGAGACTCCAAGTACCATAACCACCAATGTGTGTTGCATAGATTAGAATGCAAAGTTCTCCTCTGCAATTCTTTGCTGCATTTCAATGTTTATATGTTCAGAGGTATTCAAACATTAACTGTAAGCATACCTAAATCAGTGGCATGTGGGGATCCTGGTGTAGGAAGAACTTGGTGCAAAAAATGCAAATCGTGAGAATTTGCTGCAATTTAAGGAATTTTTAAGGTGATATTTATCATATTTTTAATGAGTGATTTGCATGTTTTTAAAAATATACATGTACATGAAAACCAGGGGCCGGCACTCACCTGAACATGCTTAGAGGAGTGCTCACTCACTCCAGCGCACTCACCCATCCACTAAACAGCAACTTCAAAGCTCACAGATTTTATTTGTTTTTTGTTTTTCTTTACATTTAGCCTTGTACTGCAGAGAGCCCCTGATGGACGTTTTTTCCCAAATAAGTGGATTAATCTCATAAGCAGACATTAGGCTGTTAGTGTAGGACCTGCCAAAGATGGGGTACAGTGACGTTGTGGCAGGCTTATGCAATGTATGATCATATACTGTAACTAAACCCCCATTAATTTTGCCCAGATTAGGAGTTTAAAAAACCCAAAAACAAATAAAAACTGTAAGCTTTAAAGTTGCTGTTTAGTGGATGAGTGAATGTGTTGGATCTTGTGTACCAATATGTGCATCAATGTAAAATAATTCCAATAAATGCAGAATTTGTTGGTGCTGAACTAAATAAATCCACAGAGCTAAAAATTCACAGAAATACTGTTTATATTTCAACTTTTAGACATCGTTATGGACTATTACGGTAGCCAAGCAACCAAGTGCTCTCCATACCCCCGTTTCAGTATATATTTCCAAAATGCATAAAGTACATATTCATTTTATAATTCTGTAGCATAAAGTGCACTTACGGCTTTTTTTTTTTTTTCAGCTTAATGTTTTGTGATTTTTTTTATTTTTGATTTTTTTATTGAGTAGCTGCAAGGCATACAATGATTATGCGAGAAGCACTTCACGGTATACAAATCAGGTGGAACATAATAAAACATTATGTATAAGGGTATATTTAATCACTTCACAAATCATAAAAGAGAGGTAACCAGTATTTTCAGCGGAGAAACTTTGGAGTGTTTTGGGGTGGGGGAGAGAGTAACAGACATGTGACTTAATGTATTACATGCTAGCTGCAGAGATGTTTTTTCCATATTGTGGCCGATGAAGGATTGGCCACTAGGAGGCTCCACTGAGGTATGTTAGCCAGGGCTCTCAAGTGTCTGACTAGAAGAGAAAATATCTTCAATGGAGATATGAGTATGCTCCAGTCAGGGGAGCCAAATTAAGAGCCCATTGGGTCTGGTGCTGACAACCATGATGTGCCTAATTACAGAATCAATATAGACAGAAAACACTAAAACAGTCATACCTCCCAATTGAAACTCGCAGGATACAGCTTTAAGAAAACACATACGCTATGCTAATGTCTCTCTTTCCTTTTTCATGTAAATTCAAACTTCCTAACAGATGTCTCTGGTGAAGCAGTATTTTGGTGGGTGGGGTTGAAGTGTCTCCATTTCTCCCAATGCCTCCATGTCTCTGTGTCTCCAAGTGTCTCAGTGCCCCCATGTCTCCCAGTGTCCCTAGTGTCTCAGTGTCCCCATTTCTCCCAGTGTCCCCTAATGTCTCAGTGTCCCCATGTCTCCCAGTGTCTCCATGTCTCCCAGTGCCCCCATGTCTCCCAGTGTCCCCAAGTGTCTCAGTGCCCCCATGTCTCCCAGTGTCCCCAGGTCTCTCAGTGTCCCCATGTCTCACTGTGTCCCCTAGTATCCTAGTGACATGGGGACACACTGAGACATGGGGACACTGGGAGAAATGGGGACTTTGAGACACTGGGAGACTAGGGGACTGGGTGACATGGGGTCACTGACACTGTGATACATAGTGACACTGAAACACTGGGTGACTTGCGAGTCTGGGAGACAGGGAGACAGGGAGACAGGGAGACACTGGGAGCAATTCCTCTATACAGCAGAATCAAACTGTGAGTAGTTTGTTGGTGATTTTCAGAATTTTCTCTTATGTCACTCCTTGTGATTTACATCATGTGATGTTACGCACAACTAATTAATTATACAAATGATTAAGGCTGGTATTTTTTCCAAGAAAGGTTTCAACCCTAACTACTCTTCACATAATCTTGCTTAAAGGAACACTACAGGGTCAGGAACACAATCATGTATTTCTAACCCTATAATGTAATAAACCATCAACTATCCCCCTTCTTGCCTCCCTAAATATAGTAAAATCTTACTTGTATTCTGTAGTCTGCAGCTGCTGGCTCTGCCTCTGAACTGACTCTGTCTGCTGACATCATCAGAAGTGGTGGTCTGAGCAAATTGCAATGCTTCCCCATAGGATTGGCTGAGACTTTCAACTAGGCAGATCAGGGGCAGAATCAGCACAAGTCAAACACAGCCCTGGCCAATCAGCATCTCCTCATAAAGATAAATTGAATCAATGCATCTCTATGAGGAAAGTTCAGTGTCTGCATGCAGAGGGTAGAGACACTGAATGGCAGTGCTGCACACTAGGCAGAACTGCCCCAGGTAGCACCTCTAGCAGCCATTTAAGGAGTGGCCAGTGGAGTTATTTTCTCTGAAAAGACAGTGTTTACTGCAAAAAGTCTGAAGGGAATGATTCTACTTACCAGAACAAATACAATAAGCTGTAGTTGTTCTGGTGACTAGAGTGTCCCTTTAAGTTTGGAAGCTTAAGAGGGATGTATGGGAACAAAACTTGTGTGGACTGGCTAGCAATAAAATGAGTTTAGGTAATGCAGACTTTGGTTTCTCTAACACTGTGGCGTGTCCCCTTTCTTCTACACTCACTACATACACCTTTACTCTGTCCCAGACTATATACCAGGAACTTCTGCCTGCTAGTAAGACGATAAGGAGACAAGTGGACATGTGAATGCTAGGGGACAGTCCTTAGAAAGTGTGGAGTAGGCGCATCATTTGATGCATTTATGCCAAGCTCAGGGGACTGGCTGCATATTATGCCCTTAGTTGGACAGCATTCATGCCAGGCTGGCCTTCCAATTCTTTGGACAGACATGCCCCCTTTTTGGGCATGTTCTCCCCTTTGGCAGGTCTGGTCATGTGATGCGTGCCAGTGGCACACCATTTTACCCTGCCCATTGACTTCCTGCTTCACTGGACACTGCTGTTAGGGGTTCTGGATTTACTTGAAAGATGAAAGCATAGATTAGAGAGAGATTAGCATAGGGTAGGTGTTTTCGTATAGCTGCATCCTTTAAGTTTCCCTCACCATCTCCATCAGATACATGACGCTTGAGAGGTATGACTGTTTTAGTGTTTTTGGTTGATAAGATTCTGTAATTAGGCCCATCATACTTGTCAGCTCCAGGCCCACTGGGCTCTTAATCTGGCCCTGGAAGAGAGGAGACTTTGGGGTTAAACCATTGGTGAATAGTTTAATCCCTGAAATATAAGCCAGCACCAGGGTCCTCCTGGCACTATAACAAAATAATTTCTATGAAGTTGTTATGGTTCCCAAACTGTTCTTTTAATATTTAAAAAGTTAGATCTTGTTAATTACATTATTCAGCCATGATATCTCCCAGTATCTTTGAAAGGTATCACTTTTATTCATTGTTCATAAGGATAGGATAATCAGATATTAGACATGTGCAATTCGTTTCGGCCCGAATGTGAATTCGGACGAATTTCGGGCAATTCGGACATTCGGTTACTTCCGAATGTCCGAATAGATGAATTGCCGAATGGTTGAAGTCCCGAAGTGCCGAAGTGCTGAAGTTCCGAAGTGTTGAAGTGCCGAAATGCCGAAGTTCCGAAGCACAGTATTGACTAAGAACTAATATACTTACCCAGTGGAAGAATGAAGAATGTTACACTGTATTCAATTTTAAATAAAAAGTATACAAACATAGCCAGGATTCAGCTGTAATCATTTGCAACACTTACAACAATCAAGTAACATTAGGGAGCTATCTACTAAAAGGCTATATACTAAAAGGCTGAAAGACCTAAATTGGTCTTTCAGACAAATTTACTAATACCAAGTAAAGATTACTTAGTATTAGTAAATTATGCCCCTACTCGCTATACTGCGAGTAAGGGCATGTCTATTAAACAGTGAGCAGCCCATGGCTGCTCACTTTAAAAAAAAAAGTTGACTCATAACTCTCTGATTGGTGGATTAAGTAACCAATCAGAGAGTTATGAGTCAAATTACACAGCGTGGGAAAATTCCAAAGAACCTTCTCACGCTGTGTAAAATGACACAGAGCACTCTGGTGGATTTCAAGCCAACCAATCAGAGTGCTGTGACAGGTAAATGTAGAGACTCACCTGTCAGTCTCTTCATTTACCTGTCAGAGCACTCTGATTGGATGGCTTAAACCCACCAATCAGAGTGCTCTGAGCCTAATTGCAAGGTGGGGCAAGGCTTTATAAGCCTTCCCCCCCCACCCCCCCTGCAGAGCTCAGTCTGCACGTAGTCCTCCATGGGTGAAGATGGATTATTATTTTTTGCGCTCGTTTTTTTGCATCAGTTATTATGGATTTTTAATTTGGCCTTTTTGGGTTCTGAAAAAAGAAGATTTTAGAAGAAAGAAAACATCAAATGGTAAGTTTATTTTTTTTTTACAGGTACTTAGTTAAAGGTCCCCCCCTCATTATTTTTAGGGTGAGGGGAGTAGGAAGGGGTTAATTTTTTGGTGGGGGGGTGACTAGGGGTAACATTTTTATTTAGGGCCCCCCCAGCCGCTCAGGGGTGGGGGCGGGGAGGAGGACAATAGGTCCCCCCCATATTGGTATTTAGGGCCCGCATTGGAATAATTAATAATATTAGTATTTAGGGCCCGCATCCA